ATGTGTCGACTGCCTATGGAATTTAGGCGTGCTCTTTGATTTTTGCTTAGTGGCCAACGTGGATCGGAGGCTCGTCGAGAAAAAGAAAATATAATTTATAGAGTAATTTTGCATAAAATGTATCTTATAGAAAAAGAGAGAGGGAGAAAGTAATTCTCTCTACAAAATATATTTCATAAGGTACAACAAGAAAAAGTACTTGAAAATTTACTTGTAAATTTATGAGATGTAAAGTTTATTTTTGTAAAATAAAGTTTACTCTTGTAGATAAACTTTATATCCTATAAATATATAAATTTTTAAGCATTTCTTTCTTTTTAGTGTATACACCAAGAGTTTTATAGTAGAAATTACCATATAGATTTGCAGCCAAAGAATGGATCAACATTATTCAGAAATTTATTATTCTTTTATTTATACTACGTATGTTATTTATATTTTAAGAGCTGTGAATTGAAAGATTTGCTATGTGTCTAGCGAAATTTCCTACGTTCCGTAACAAGATAAACCTTGTTGACAGTCTCTATTGCCGCACTACTAGAAACGTAGTGAAATTGAATAGAATTGAATAGAATTTATATGAAAAGAAACCGTAACACTGTGCCTGTATACTCTCTATAGAGATCGAATGCAACGAATACGATAAATTCCGCGAAATCATAGCGGTACATTCGCGTTGGTTGAATATAGACTCTGCAGAGGTCGACCCAACGAGCGATCGACCCTCGGCGTATCTAATACAGCCGTGATTAAGCGCTCTCGGCTCTCGTGACTTTGAATCTTCAGCGAGTGTTGCAGTTGCCCCGTGTGTTGATTAGACTCTTAATTCCGTTAATGAAGCACAAGCGCTAACGCATCGCGACCCACGTTAATCCATTAGCGCGATATCTCACGACGTGGCTGGCTTACTTCGACAATGGCGAAGCCACGCGATGCCGCAAGTTAAATTCCAAGTTGCCGGGGCGATCTTAGCTCGTCGTGGAAGCGACTCGGTTCGTCTCTAACCGCGCGGCTAATTAATCCGAAGTTAATGGACGCCCATCCAGCGCGACGCCTCGGCCGTCTCCTCCCGTCTGGGGAGCAGATACCGAGTTATTCGACTTGGTAGGCACGAGTCGCACGGGGAAATCGTTGACGGCGAATTCCGTCTATTTTCGGTCGGTGATTTCCGGTATTTCGTGGCGAATGTTCGTCTTCGCTCGGCGGCGCGAGATATCGGCGAGGTTACATGGGAAAAATCGATTCGGCCTGTCGCGCTCGTTGCCGTGGAAAATTCATCGTAGTGTAAAGTAGTTATGCACTCGCGTGTAGTCAGACTTGGGTGAGAGGCAGCGGAATCGTTGTAGCGCGGAATAATAGCCGGGTGTTCGATGTGCTTCGCGAGACCTCTCTAAACGTGTACACGTGTTAGAAATGCATAGAGCAAATATTCACACGGAGCTAATATTCTTGCCGGGAACCACTACATACACACGCACGCACGCACGCACATATATACACTTATAATGGCGACATTCTTGAGATAAAAGGAACAGAGTCCTTTATATCAGCTTCAGATCGATCCTATCTTAAGAATGTGCACATTGAAAGTAGATATCGTATTGAAGTTTAATATCAGTCTCGATGCCTCTTCGATCGTCGATTTGAAGTATGATTATTTAATCGTCTTCTCAGTGATAGATAATGCAAGTTGCGGAGAATATTTATCTGACCTCCTCTCCTTACATTCGGCCGCGAGTCCAGAAGTCGAAGCATTAAGCATAAATTATTGCGAGCGTCACTTGTTGATCGCAGGGCTGCAAATAGGCCGCGCGGTTCAACAAAATTTGCGTTGCTAATGCATTTTAATCGATCGCCGACGGAACGTAATGATTGAGAAATTAATTAAGCTAGCCCATTCGGCCGAAACATTCCCAGCGCGCGTGTCGCAGAGAGAAACGTTTCCCCTTGGCTGCAATTCCCAACCGACTCAATAATAAAAGAGCACACGTTTCCCTTTGGCACTTCCATGTCTTTTTCTTTATCGTATTCCCGCCGATAACCCTCAGAAATAATTAGCCATCAACCTGAAAAGTCCTGCTCGTCTCTCTTGAGACTTGACGGGTGCGCTTTCACGTTTCGCTGAAAAAGGTAACGAGCGAGAAGAGAGAGAGAGAAAGCGCAGAGGCTTCTCGTTGGGACTATAGCAGCTCAGAGATCCTAGTTGAAAATCCGGTCGGTACCGAGAAGCCTGCTGGCTCCAGAAAACTAGTCCCAAGGTGCTCACGACTTTTCAAATCAAAGAGATCATTATGAAACTGTTTACGATCGGAAAAACGCGACTTCGGGCTACTATTTGGGCTGGACTATTAAAGTAAAAGTATCAGTGTCTGGACATTAATAACATTAGCATCTAACTCTAGACATTCGTGTTGTTTTTTTTAGTCTTTAGATACAAATTAAACTTTCACTACAGAATATGGCAAAATGGTAGAGGAATTTGGTACTCAGTTTGATAAGTCGGACTAACTTTCGCGATGGAACAAGCAATCTTCCTCTTCAATCACGAGATGAGAGCTTCTTCTGATTGGAATCAACTTTCCATTCGCTCGCGAGATGTCGAGAATTTTTCGCACCGACCGTTGCGAGCATCTCTAATAGAGACGGCCATCAAAAAATGAAACAATACCGATCAGAAAGCTCTCAGCGCTGCCGCGATAGCACAGACTCGCGGAGAGACAGGCACGCCGGAGTAAAGCCGAATCGCCGCGTTCCGACAATTCCATCGACGTTATAGAGAAGCCCGATGAGAAAAGGGACGACGAAACCGCGGCGGAAACGCGTCGCTGTTTGAGTTCCAATTTGCGTTTAATAATTGCATTCGATTAATATTCATTGGAATGCAAAGCGGTCCAGCGATGAAGCGGTGAATCCAACGAGCACGGCTCGCTCGCTCGCTCGCACGCGCGTAAAAGGAAATGGAAGTCAACGAGAAAGCGGTTTTCGCCAACTTTCGGCATTGTCCGACGGAGTGTAGATAATAAATTGGGATAGAGACGTCGTGTCTCCACCGTCGCGCGCTTTACGGATGATAATGGCTTCGGCGACGGCACGGGATATCTGTCGCGACTTATTTATGCGGGACACTCTCCACCGCGAGGACACGTCGATCCGGCTTTCCTCGCCACGGCTTTCCTGAAGCGTCGAAGGCCGACGGAGGTGCATTCACCCCGGATGCGCGTCGCGAATTCGTGTCGAACATATCTGCGAGCGTATATCCTCCAGTGAACGCCGCAACTTTTCCTCCGCGCGAATTCCTCCCCCGAATTTCCAACGTTGCGCGCATCTCGGCGATTAAGCCCGGAATTAAGATTCTGCGTTAGGGGTGAACTTTAATTACCGGAGAGCGATCTTTTGTTACCTGTTTGCACCTCCGAGTGTTTATCTCGCGAAAAATATGACTCTGAACAAGTCGATAATTATGTTGCGATTGGAAATTTTGCGAGGGGAACTCCTCAAGCTCGATGCGAGTGCGAGTTGTTTATTAATGAGCTTATTTGCGAAAATTTCATCAGAGAAAGTTTTATACGCGATGGTGGTGAACGGTGTAGCGATCGCGTGGAAATAGAATTCGCGGTTACAATACGCACTACAAAAGACGATGACACGAGCACAAACGTTTTCTCAAGAAAAGTAAAAATAACGAAACGGATGTGAATCGCTCCGTACTCGAATGAAGTTCGATCTTAGACATTCTCTCTCTCTCTTATCCCCCTCTCTCTCTCTCTCTCTCTCTCCCCTCTGTCTGTCTGGAATCTTATCTTTGAGAACGCGTGCACCTGCTGGCACATACTCACACATACACACACATGCATACACGTATATGGACACATACACGAATGCGCGGGGAATTGTGAATACGCCCCGAGAGAGCAAGGACTATTTCTGGCGTCGCGATCCTACGAAACAAAAGGAATTTACAATGAGCGAGTTCTGTGTTCGGCGCCAAAGCTGCAATCGTAAATCGAAAACTTTCGTCCTTCCCTCTACATCTCCCTCTAGAATCTCGCCCGCTTCTTCGCGCGACACCAACTTCGCTCGCGCGTTACGTCCTGGAAACGGTCGATCTCTTAGCTTGTAGAAACAGGACGAAACTGATCAGGCTCCGTACGAGAGTCCTAGACACGAACGGAGGGAAGATTATCCCTCGCGATCCTGAGGGATTAGCAATTTCACACCGCCGGACAACGGGTCTCTATTTTTCTGGGTCAGTGGGAACAGCGCGATACAGATCAGACGCGAAAACTTGGCAGACGTGGGCGGAATATCGCGTGAACCCGCGAGGGATTAGGCACTTTCTTGTACTTCTTTTCCGTAGTTTCGCGCGAGAGATATTGGCGTAACGAATCGGATGCGTTTCGCGGGCGCGAACGAGGAACTCGCGCTTCCGATTACTCCAAGAGCGAGTACTACGCGGGCTTCATCCAGTTCAACGTAGCGCGATACAAATCGGACGTGATCAGACGTCCAGTGATCCGAATAGTGAAAGAATCGCGTGGATTCAAGGGATTAATCGATCGACACTCTCCCGCTGTCAGAAAACGGACGTCCCGTAGCTCTCCGGGTCAATCGGCCTGAAAGCCAGTGGAAAAACCACGAAATATATCAGGCACCACCGGGTTTCCTGTACAAGTGAAAAAAAAAAACAAAAAACACGCGAAACTGTAAATCTCTCGCGTAATCCGCATATCCGACCGACGATCCGGACGCGTATACACTCTTCGCATGTCGCGTGGACAATAGGAAAGCCACAAAATATAGATCAGACATGACAACCGGCTAGCACGAATGAAACACACATCGTGTTGATCTCAGAAAGATTAAGAAAACTGTCTCCCTCGTAGCTGCTTTGTTTCTTACTAACAGAAACGTCAAGCCGGACAACGCGATCGAGCAGAGGAACAAACGCTTCGCGGATCTACGAGCACACACTCGCACTCACAATGAACAAGTCCCTGTACCTTTCTGTGTCAAGCTGATCCAATTCGGCGACTTTTCACCGATTCGGGACAAGCCTCCACCGATCTCTTCTTCTTGCCTCGTGACTCTCCAACGTCTCGTTAGCCCCGGTCGACGATCCAACGTTCGCGAGACGCTCGTCAAGAGCGAGTGTGTCCCGTTATCCTTCCATCGATCATGAACTCCGGGTTCACGGTTCGACTCGGAGGTTATTGCGCGAACGATGCATCACCCGCGTGGCTCAGCTCGCGCAGCCGGTAGTGCGAATGCAGTCGACGCAGCTGCGAGTACGCGACGCAATGACGCGAAATAGACGTGCGTCGCGACGCCAAACGGACAGACACGCACGCGGTTACGTACGTTGCCGAGCGACGGCGGAAGGCGAACTGGACCGAGCGCCGGAGACTGCCCTGTTCAGTCGCTGCGTGTACGGTCTGGCGGCCGCTTACGCCGGCGACGAGAACGGCCACCACGACGACGACGACGCCGACGCCGACGCCGTTCGTAGCAACCATGACGCGACGCGGAAGCCGCCGCCGGAGCGCCCTCATCTCCCACCCTCCGCGGCTCCTCGTTTCATCCCGTTTCAACCACCGCCGCCGCCCTCGCTCTCTCGACCGCTCGCTGGAGCAACCCCCACTACTCTATCGATCCTACGGGAGAGGCCCTCTGGTGCGTCCGTTCCATTTGCCTCGTTCGAGCGGAGACTGCGAATCGCACTCGTAGCGCCTGGTCGCGTCGTGATCGCGAAAGTCGAGAAGGATCGCGAGGCCTCGAGAAGAGACACTCCGTCGACGGGCTCAGCACCTAGCGGGATCCTTCCTGCGAGATGCGGGGGAAACACTGGATCATTAATGAATCGATCCTCGTTTTATCGGCAGGTATAAACGTGCTCTCGAGAGAGAGTTGGCCAGAGAGAGAGAGAGAGAGAGAAAGAATGGCGAGCTAACGCGTCGGAAGTGGATTAAGTGTCAACGTTGCGACCGGCAACGACGTATTCTCGTTAGCGTGATTGGGAACGGAGGGATTCGAATGATACGAGTAGGTAGGACGCAGTAACTTCTCGAAAAGCGTCAGTTCGTGGTGTTTTTTAAATAGGAGCAAAAGGAAACGCGATACATCCAAGAAATGCAAACGGCAAGCAATACCAAAGATTATGTCGAATGCGTTATATTAAAGTTCTTGAAGAACAATCCTTCTATTCAGCACAAAAGAGCTTGTTTTAGAATTACGTTCGGCGATATACCAGCAAAATTTGCCGCAATATTCATAAAGGTTCAGAGAGTCGTTGGGTTCAAATTTCTATTGTCGGGATGCAGATTTTCTCCCTCAATAAGGAATTTTTAACCCGAGGGTTCACGGAACCCTGAGTGGTCATTGAATGTGTTTCAGGAATCTGCTAATTTGAATGAAGAAGCAATATCAAATCTTTGTCAATTTTATGCGAAAATATTAGAGTAACAACAAATTTTTTGTAAACTTGAAGCACACAAAATTGTGACTGAAATTACTGTATAAAAAGTCTGTACAAAAAATTAATATTTAAAAATTTTACGTACATTCGACTCTTTCACTGGAAAATTATTGTAATTATTTGAATGTTTCTTTTTTTATATCGTATTAGCTTAAATTACCCGGCGCTACCCGAGTTATCACAAAATATCAAGGGGATGAAATCAGAGGGAAAAGATGGATGGAGTATCCAAGTTTTATGGTAGTTTATATTTTCCGCAGGGAGTCCAAAAAAACATTGTAAAAAGAAATATAATTTTACTGTAATATTTTCCCCGTGCGTCTATATTTCAAACGTATTGTCTTGTTGCTTAACGCAGAAACCCTTACATTACTAGATCATAAATTCGTTTTTCTTTTTCCTTTTATCGCGAGAGTTTCCCGCCGGTTTTATTAGATTGGCGAAGGAGTTTATGGTGCGCATAAGCACCCTTGCTCTCCATAGAAATACTGACCAGCCATAATAGATACATCTGAGCACGTTTCCCCGCGCGAGGGGAAAGCGAAAGTAACCCTTGAAGCTTCCTGCCGCACGTCGTGGCGGATTTTCCGGTTATACGCTCGCGAGAGAGTCGCGGAATCTGATCGATTCACTGCCGTGTCGTCGCGCGACAGCCGTTTTCCGATTACGCGAGAGAAGCCTAAGCGCACGGTATGTGCACATCGATCCCTATATTCACACCATATACGGCATTACTACCGCTACCGTGCGGTAGTTGCTTGATTTCCATTACATGTTTACATTAAGCACGAGCCCTGTGTTAAGCAAATTAAACTAGGCCATCGCGCACTTAACGTTAAACGCGGTATTTTATGACGATGTAGATACAGAGGAATTAATTAAGGAATCCGTGCCAGAATCGCATGCAGAATTACGAATTCGTAATCATTATTTTACGATGTTAACCAGTTATTAGAATAAGTACGCGAATACTTTATATTTCGCGTTGCATCAAACGATATCGATGTAGTCTGCTAAAGTTGCGTGTGTGTGTGTGTGTGTGTGTGTGTGTATGTGCGTGATACATTTTGCAATTAATTCTTTAATTTTGTGGCCGCTTTGAACAGCGCGTGCACGTCATTTTAGCGAGTTAATGTATCGCAATGGCCGTCGGTAAATGAGTAATAACGAAATCTTGGCAGTAAAATAAATTCTCAAATGCATCGCGGCCATAGCGGAAAGAGGAGCAATCTTGGCGACCGGTGTAGAAAGTAAAGAAATGAGATTAAAGCAGCAAGAGAATTTGCAATATTATTTTTAGCACGTATTTAGGTAATACCAAGGCTAGTTTCGCGGTGGAATACATTTCAGAATATATCGTTACGGCTGAAAGAAATTTCGAGCTTAGCCAGGAATAGTAAAAAGCGAACTAAAAAGGGTGAAGTTAACGCTTTGATTCAAGGTAGTGCGCATTTGACGTCGACGGAATCTCTGCGGCCAGGAATAAATTTCAAAATATAACATTACCAACTGAAGGAAATCGCGACTCGGGCAAAAAAAATGAAGAAGAGGAGGAAGTAGAAGAGAAAAAGGACCTCTGAGAGGCGGAGTTAAGTCTCGACGCGCGAACTCGCGATATTATTTCCATAAGTCTCGCGCGTTCGACGCTAACGGACGCTTCGCGGCGGAGTAAATTCCGGAATATATCGTTTTCAACCGAAAGAAATCGCGAGTTACAAAAGGAGTGGGAACTCGAAACGTAAAGCCCGCGCGCGAATTTCCGATATTATTTTCCGAAGGAACGCGCATTCGACGCTAACGGGAGCTTCGCGCCAAAGTAAATTCCCAGGTATATCGCGCGACCAGCAAGAAAAGCCGGAAATAAAACGCCAGAATTTCCACTAATTCGGCAGATTTCCAGTATAGCCCGCCTCGAAGAAGTACAATTTCCCAGCACGACCCGAGATATGGGAGGCATGATCGAAGCTATTTCTCGAAGCGCCCGACAGTGCGTCCTGAATCTGTCAAAAACCATAATTCACCATAAACGATCGTGACGTGCTGTAAAATCGCGCATGGCACATAAAAATCCCAAAATCGCAGAATAGCGCTTAAGAAAGCGAGTCTCGGCGCTTTTCCTTCTCGTTCCCTTTGTATGTGCGAAATTATTTCCACCGAAATCTCACCCGATACACGCCGAGACGTTTCGCCCGCCACGAATTGCATCGCATTAAATTATTCTCTTAGGCTAAAAAAGCATTTGGGCAATATTCGGAAATTTATTTAAATAAATGCTAAATAAATATATTTGAATTTTACACATGTATTACTTCTTTTTTTAATAACATGAAACGAATGTATTTTAACAAAAAAAAATATTTAATTTTTTCTTTAAAATTAACAAAAGAATTGCTTGAAAATAAAAATTTTTGTTCGCAAGAGACTGCAGCTACTATTTTAGAAACACTTTTCATTATTTTGGTTGCTATTGCACAGACGTAAATCATGCAAACGAGGGGAGCATACAAGAATTGCAAGCAATAAATGCTGTACCGTCATCTTTGCAAAGAATAATTATAAATTATTTTTTTAATTAATATATTGTTCAATTACATATGTAATATTGAAATATATTTATTTAGTAGTTTTCTTTAAATAAATCCCCGAATGTTGTCGCTTTTTTGGCCTGAAAAAATAATTGGCTCCCTTAAAACGGAATGGAGGAGACAGAGTTTTTGGCCTTTCCGAGACACCGCGCGAACTCTCTTCTCCTAATGGATTTCCGAGAGCGGGAAAAATAATTATCAACGATAACGGCAGTCTCTCTCGCGTGCACGAGCGAGCGGCGAGCATAAATTTTGCATTTCGCATTGTGGTCGGTCGTAACGGGGTGGAACGTCACGCGGAATAAAGCAGTTTTCAAGTAGTGCGGAGTCGCAGAAGTATAATTACAAGGTTTGAGATTTCATGTTTATCACCGCGCGTGAAAATGGGAGAACTTTCTCACGCAGTAGCTCCCCCAGTTTTCCCGGACTGTTCGTCGAGAGGAGCCGAAGTAGCGACCTAAAAGATTAAACTGCTTCTTAGCGTGCGTCGTTCGGCTCAGAGAGAGAGAGAGAGAGAGAGAGAGAGAGATATAGAGAGAGAGAGAAGGGGAGGGAGAGGAAAAGGGGGAGGATAAAAAAAGAAAGAGGAGGGAGACGAGGTAGGAGGAAAGAGAAAACTGCATCTAGACTTAACCGAGTTTTGCGGTCGACATTGTTGCCAGTGACAGAGTTTTCGATACTATACCATCACCGATGTGGAGTACGGCTCGTGCGCTGCGAAATTTTTATCACGGTTCTGGCTGTCACAAAATGACGCTGTCGAGCACGTCAGTTAAACGTAAGATTTTCAGAGAGAAATCGACCGAGAAGAGTTTGAAGAGTTTGGAGAGAGCGCTAATGGATATCTTGCATGTTCAAAATATACACCGTACGTGTTGTTTTCTTTTCGCGAGATTTTGCCGACGATTACTGACACTCCCGCAGTTTTCACAAGTTTCCCCTAGCACGATATTGGCACGAGTCAACCTGTCGATATGTCACAGTTGAGTACTTTAATACCATCGAACCCGGCGGATTATCGCGCACTAAAGAAAAAAATAAATAAAATATCGCTGAGAAAGGTCGCCGCGTATTTCGTGTATCCGCGCTGTACATCTCTCTCTCTCTCTCCCTTCTTTCTCGTTTTAAATTTAACAGCGTGTCGCTTTTGTTCATACTTGAAAAGGCATCAATGCGCTATTTGATAATTTCTATGGGAGAGCATTATCCCGCAACGACACATCAGACACGAAATCATTAATTTCAAACACACGGAATATTTTTTCAAATTCGCGCAACATTTGTAAACATGTTTATTTGATATCTCGCTTTCCTGATTGTTGTTGGCAGGTAATTATGAAGATAAAGCATCGATTATAAAAACATTTAACATCTTAATATA